AAGGAAACACAAACAAGATGAAAAGACAACCCTCAGAATGGGAGAAAATATTTGCAAACGAATCAACGGACAAAGGATTAATCTCCAAAATATATAAACAGTTCATGCAGCTCAATATTAAAAGAACAAACAACCCAATCTAAAAATGGGTAGAAGACCTAAATAGACATTTCTCCAAAGAAGACACACAGATGGCCAAGAAGCACATGAAAAGCTGTTCAACATCACTGATTATTAGAGAAATGCAAATCAAAACTACAATGAGGTATCACCTCACACCAGTTAGAATTGGCATCATCAGAAAATCTACAAACAACAAACGCTGGAGAGGGTGTGGAGAAAAGGGAACCCTCCTGCACTGTTGGTGGGAATGTAAATTGATACAGCCATTATGGAGAACAGTATGGAGGTTCCTTAAAAAACTAAAAATAGAATTACCATATGACCCAGCAATCCCACTACTGGGCATATGCCCTGAGAAAACCATAATTCAAAATGACACATGCACCCCAATGTTCACTGCAGCACTATTTACAATAGTCAGGACATGGAAGCAACCTAAATGGCCATCGACAGACAAATGGATAAAGAAGATGGGGTACATATATACAATGGAGTATTACTCAGCCTTAAGAAGGAACGAAAATGGGTCATTTGTAGAGACGTGGATGGATCTAGAGACTGTCATACAGAGTGAAGTAAGTCAGGAAGAGAAAAACAAATATCGTATATTAACGCATATATGTGGAACCTAGAGAAATGGTACAAATGAACCGGTTTACAGGGCAGAAATTGAGACACAGATGTAGAGAACAAATGTATGGACACCAAGGGAGAAAAGCGGTGGGGTGGGGATGAATTGGGAGATTGGGATTGACATATATACACTAATATGTATATAATGGATAACTAATAAGAACCTGCTGTATAAAAAAATAAATAAAATTAAATTAAAAAAAAAAACAGATTGGAGGAGTGCAGCCACAACACCAAGGCTTGCTGGTAAGCAGTATAAGCCAGGCTACAGGCGTGCAACAGATTCACCCTCAGATCCTCCAAAAGGAACCAACTCTGCTGACACCTTGATTTCAGAGTTCTGCCTCCTAAACTATGACAGGATACATTTCTGTTCTTTTAAGCCACCCAGTTTGTAGTACACTTTGTTACAACAGTCTCAGGAAACTAATACAGAGGCTTAACTAGTAGGAACTATGTGGCCTCATGGGAAATCCATCTTCCAGCTACAATTTGTTAAGATCAAAGACGTGCCACTATCTCTACTCATTTTGTTGGCCTTCTAGCATTTTTTACAGAGCCAGAGAATAATACCATAAAGGAACCTGTGTAGCTTAGAAATTTATACCATTAAAACAATATATAGTCGACCAGTGGCTTAAATTCATTGCTGACCCAGGGTGGAGCAGGCCAGGGAACCAAGAAGTAAAACACTTTTGACTATTCAACCTAAAAATTAACAAACAACAAAAAGAGACACCTTCACAACATGAAAGGATCATCTAAAGATGGCTTCAAACTAAATAGAAAGGTAGGCTTCAAACAGGGTGTCAAGGTCTGTGGTACTATGGAGATGGCCAAGTCATTTATTTCCAGAGAAAGTAAAAGGCGCTTTTCTTTCTTTTTGAACCCTCCATGGGGTAGATAACTGGTTAGGAAGTACTGACTATTAAGGAGAGGGATGAGAAATCCAAAGTTTAAATAAAAGACTACAGTTAGCTTAATAAGAAGAGTCCTTTCAAAGGATCAGAATATAAAATCAGTGACATCATATGAATGACATAAAACCAGTCTAATCCCAGCAGAAAAATCAGTACAACTGATACAACTACATCTAAGAACATGGAAACATTTCCCAGCCATCTTTTTGTACAGTCATTACCTCCCCCCACTAATAAAATGGTGTTCAATTAATTGAACTAAGATTTTTAAGATTAAAAGACATGGAACCTCTGCTTCCAGGTAATTCAGAGTAGCTGCCACAGAATTACACTCTGCGAAGAACAATAAGAAAACACCAGATAAACAGAAAATAATCTGCTTAAAGACATCAAAGAGCAGCCAAAGCAATGAAGACTAGAAGCACTAAGATTCCGAAGAGCAAAAAAAAACCCTCAGAAGTAATAATAGTTGACTTGACTTCTGCAGCCACTGGGGAGATCTGTGACTCTGAGCCTGGGCAAGAAGCTGAATATCTGGGCTTTTCCCAGCCGAGAATCACTGTTGGAGAAACAGAGACACCGGCAGAGCTTTTGGTGGTCTTTCTAAGCTAGAGGGACACTGGACACTTGAGGGACTGCAAACACACAGCCAGTTTTCCCTTAGAACATTTGCTGAATCTGCAGGGAGCAGGAGGCTAAAAAGCTAAGCTAGATACCTTCTGAAAAGCAGAGCCGTTCAGGGCTGTCTCACGGTGCCGAGGAAACCAAGATCCTAGTTTAAGACCTGCCAATGGGGTGGGGCAGAGAGTGCAGCAGGCCCTCCGTCCAGTACCCTGGATAGCCAAACCCCAGGAACAGGGGGACCAAACGAGAACTAGATTAAGATGACTGTCTCCCACTGTATGTGCCTGGGGAGGAAAGAATAAATCCTCTCTGGAGTAGAGTGACATCATCTGGGGCTTCTACAATTTTTAAAACACAGTGCCTACCATCTAATCAAAAATAACCAGACATGCTAAAAGATAGGGCTGTATGACGGAAAACCAAGGGGGAAAAAAAAAAAAAAAGCATACAATACAAATGGTTCACGATAATTCAGATATTAGAAATAACAGTCAAGAATTTTTAAATACTTATAATTAATGTGTTCCAAAAAAGAGGAAAAGATGGAGAAAATCAATTTTCCTAGAAGTTTGAGAATGTTACTGGAAGATTAGAATGTACTTAAAAAAAAAAAAGGAAATCCTAACATTGAAGTTTAGAAAAAAATGTATACTTCATTTTGATTATGGAACACTTGACTCTCTGTAAAATTTTATACTATGCTTCTGTATATACTATATTCTTTTAAGCTTTTGTTCTATATGTTTTCTTTTTATTACTTTTATCTTTAAAAGTAATTCACGCTCATTGTAACCAGTGAAGTAACAGACAATGGAGAAATTATTAATTTCCTCCAATCCGTCCACATTTTTACCAGCCTAAGGTAACTGGTATGTGTATGTTTTCACATCCTTCTCTATGCTTATACAAATATATTATTCAAATATATACAACAGAAAACAGCTTGGTATTTTCTTGGTGGTTCCTCAAAAAGTTAAACATAGAATTATCACATGACCAAGCAATTCCACACTCCTAGGTATACATCTAAAAGAATTGAAAATAGGTGCTCAAATAGTCGCATACAAATGTGCACAACAGTACGATTCACAATAGCCAAAAAGCAGAAACAACCCAAACATCCGTCAACTAATGAAAAGACAAATTCTAGTCTAACCATACAATGGGATATTATTCAGCCACAAAAAGGAATGAAATACTGATACATGCTACAACACGGATGGACCTTGAAAACCGGATGCCAAGTGAAAGCAGTCAGACACATATTGTACGATTCCATGGGATTCCTTTAATACAAAGAATCCAGAATACGTAAATCTATAGAGACACAAGACAGACTGGTGGTAGTCGGAAGCTGGGGAGAGGGGAGAATGAAAACTGTTTTCCTCTGGGGTGAGCAAAGTGTTTTGGCACTTGATTTAGGTGGTGGTTGCACAACATTGTGAATGTACTAAATGCCACTGAACTGTTCACTTAAAATGGTTACGTTTATTCACGTTATGTGATTTTCACTTCAATAAAGTTAAACACACACACAACAGAGATTCTGTTGTTGCTGTTGCTCTTTTTTCCCTCCAATTTTTTTTTTTACCTATAAAGCCAACTCATTTTTTTAACAACTGCTAATAATATAGAGTACAAATGTCCTATTATTCATCTAACCATTTTTCTATTAATGGGCGATTTATTTCCAGCTTTCTGCCATTATAAGGCTGTAACAGCATCCTCATACATGTATGTGTTTGCATTACTACAGGACAGACTCCCAGAAAAAGGGCCTACGTATTTAGATATTTCAGATTATTTTCTGGAAAGACTGTAGCAATTCACACTCTTACCAGCTTGTGTGCATTTCACCCTTTAATTTTTGCAGATCTGAATGGGTAAGAAATTGGTTTAATTTATTGTTACTTTAATGTACATTTCCCTAGCAGCAATTGTTCATCGTGTCCTACTGGCCACTTGAATCTCCTCTTCCAAATGAATTCCCTATTCCTAACCTTTGTCCATTTTTCTATTTGGTTATCCTTCTGTTATCAATTCATAAGGAGTTTTTCAATATTAGCAGTTTTAATCATTTAACTGTCATATATAATGTAAATTGTTTCCCTGAGTCGTTCATTTGTCTTTTGCTTATTTATGTTGGTCATGTTCTTCTTAGATTTGAATTAACAGCCTCTTGGATCTTTGTCTCATGCTTCATCTCACTGAGAAAGAAGAGGGCAATAAAGTGATGGAAGAGAATAAAGCACAAAGGTCTAGCTACTGTCTTTGGAAAAAAAAAAAGATTCTCCTTTCGGCACATTTTTTTTTTTTTTTTAAACAACTGAGTTCTGTTTTGTTTTGTTTTTTGGTATATCTATTTATTTATTTTTATTTATTTATATTTGGCTGCGTCGGGTCTTAGTTGCGGTGTGTGGGCCGTTTGCTGAGTCGCACACTCTCTATAGTTGTGGCGTGCGGGTTTTCTCTCTCTAGTTGTGGCACGCGGGCTCCAGAGTGCGTGGGCTCTGCAGTTTGCGGCACGTAGGCTCTCTAGTTGAGGCGCCTGGGCTTAGCTGCTCCGTGGCATGTGGGATCTTAGTTCCCCGACCAGGGATCGAACCCACATCCCCTGTACTGGAAGGTGGATTCTTTACCACTGGACCACCGGGGAAGTCCCCTGGGCACCTGCTTTTAAAACTTCACTTAATGACTCACCTGCATTACTGAAGTGTCTCTTGTTGGGGTGACTATAGTTATCTCTTGGGTGTCCATGCATCTGTGGGCCATGAGAGGCAGGCAAATGAGGCTTCTGAGGGTGAGGGTTGTGCGGGGTGTGGGACTGAGACATCAGGGAATCCCGGCTTGAACCCGAGGCCTCTGGTCGAAATGGTTTTTTACCACCAATCGCATCATCTTTCTTCTTCTGCTCCTGTAGAGTAAAAGGAAACCAAAGACCCTCAGGATCCCAGGTGGAATTCCCAAGAATAGTATAAAGATCATCACCTTTAAATATTTCCCTCTTGACTTTTGACAAGTCCCTCTCGGCTTCCCTGCTGTTTACTACCTTCTTAGGAAAAATATGCTCATAAATTCCACTGAGCTCCCAGGGCATGGAAAGCCTCACGGAGCTCCATCTGCTGCTCAACCTGCTAGGCCACTACAAAGAAGCCAATCTCCAGTGACCTGCAGCTGTCAGAAAAAGGGCCCAGGCCACTGGATGTCACTGCACGGGGCGAGGAACAGGGGTCAGGCTGTCAGCACTCTTGGAAATTGCTCTCAGGCCATGTAAAACTCGGACTACCAACTTCTTCAGGCTAACTCGAACAAACAACCCCTGACTGGCCCAGTGGGAACTAGTTCCCATGCCAAAGTCATCAAGCTAAACATCTAAATGTTTAAGTAACACCATACCTTTACCACACAAGTGAAATATTTGACATAAAAACATCAGAAAATACAGTAAGGAAAAAATAAGAACTGTGAAGTGACCTAAAATTTTACCACCAAGGGAATTACTGTTAATAATTTGGTCTATGTCTTCCCGAGCCATTTTGCGTGTTTACACATAATACAGTAGACCCCCTAATCCATGGGAGACACACTTCAAGACCTCCAGTGGACGCCTGAAACTGCAGATAGTACTGAACCCTCTACGTACTATGTTTTTTCCAACACATACATGCCTATGAGAGTTTAATTTATGAATCAGGCACAGTAAGAGAATATCCGAATTGCCAGCATCACTACTCTTGTGCTTTGGGGCTACTATTTAGTAAAATAAGGATTACCTGAACTCAAGCACTGCAATACCACAACAGTCGATCCGATAGCCAAGAGAGCTACCAAGTTACTAATGGGCAGGTAGCGTATAGTGTGGATACGCTGGACAAAGGGATGATTCACGTCCCACGTGGGAGAGGGCAGGACGGCACGAGATTTCATCACGCTACCAGACCAGTGCGCAATTTAAAACTTATGAATTGTTTATTTCTGGAATTTTCCATTTAATATTTTCAGACCATGACTGACTGCAGGTAACTGAAACTGTGGAAAGCAAACCACAGTGGGGGGAACTGCTGTGTGTGTGCGCATGCGTGCGTGCGTATTTTTTTAAACAAAAATATTATTTGATATTCGTTTTTTACTTAATGTATTGTAAAAATCTTATGTGAATACTTACTTCCACAATATTATATTTATGGTTGAAAATTCCCTGATATGGATATATCGAGTCATTTCCATATAATCATGTTAAACCCTTAATTATCTCCTTCGACTAAATTCTTAGAAGGAGAATTGCATGTTTTAGTCTTTTGGTAAATCTTACTGAACTGTCCTCCAGAAAGGTTGTGAATGTATACTATAACCCCAACTAGTGGGACCACTACTTTGATCATTCACCTTATCCTAACTTCTGATACCTAGACTAATGAAGCCCTTTACCCTTTACATCATTTGTCCAACTTCACTCATCCTAACTTTCATTCTTTCCTAGAGGGCCTTTCCCCAACCATTTCATTCCCTCCTGGGGCTTTTCCTGACTATTCTTTCAGAGACTTTTTACAATGTATAAAATTCACAGTAACATTCAGCAGTATTACTATATTATTCCTGTATATTACTGTTCTACCATATTCTTCCATGTAAAATTAAATTATAAACCACCTGAGGGTGCTACTCCACAGCTCAGCACAGTGCTGGGCACAGGATATGCTCATGCAACAAATACTTCTGAGCACCCGCCCTGCGCCTGGCACCATTCCAGGTGCTGAGGATACAGGAGGGGATGAGAGACATAAGACCTCAGCCTTGACATGGTAGTAAAGGAGGTATTAAATGTTCCTAGACTGGCGCTACATGGCTAATTGGGGTAGGGCCCACGTGGCAAGTCACCAGATCTGCAAACGGACATGCCTGAACAAGGAACGCTGCCCCTGCAGCATTGGCCAAATCACTTCATGCCCATGCCCCTCCACCAAAGAATGGGAGGCAGCTTCTGGGCACCTTCTCACGTTTGCTCCTTTACGTGAGCGGTTGGGACCCTATGTACAAAAGCTGGAAGGACACCAAGTACATGTGGCCCAGAAAAGAACAGAAAAATTATGTGCTGCCCATAACTGTTATCTTTCAGGAGCCACATTTATAAGCTACCATAAGACATGTGCATATGGAAGAAAAGCCCTGGTGAATAAATGATTCCAGGATGTAAGAACACAGAGGAACAACTCCTTGTCAGAATTTCCACACTGTCTGGTTCCAATACATTGGCTATTTTACCCATCGGGTCTTAAGTGTTAGTTTGACTACTCGTGGAACACGTGGAGAAACTGCACAGCTAACACAGTGAAAGAGCCCACCATCCAAGACAGGCTGGGCTGTGGTGGGCTCCTGCACCCCCTCTTGGACACAGACCTCCATCTGCAAAGTAAGGGCAGAGAACCCATGCCCTTTCTAGCACCAACAACCTATGAGTCTATGATCATCTCCTCAGGAAAAAAAAAAGTAATTAAGGAATTTTTCTGTGGAAATGGTTTTTATCTGTTTGTATGAATTAGGATTAAGTTTGTATTTTACCTCTTCTTCTTGAGACCTTTTCTTGTGAGCCATCTTGTATAACTTATGCAATTTTCGAGCATCAAATTCTGTAAACTTGGAAACAAAAATCCATAGGTTCCTTAAAAAAGAAAAAATTTGTTCTGGTGAATTACAGGATTTTAAAAATAACTATTCTCTTTATAGATGGCAAGTTATTGAATTTTGCTGTGGAATACTCTCCAAGTATAGAAAATAAGTTACAGAAATAATCTTTCAGGTCTTGGCAACAATAATAAATACACCTTTAAATGCTACTGTCAATAGAATTTGACATAGGGGTCTGGAGATGAGGGTCTGTCTCACAGCTAAAACCCCTCTAATTTATTTCACTGGCACCTAGGACTCCGGACCTAACATCCTCCTCCACCTTCTGCACTCCCTGGACTCTGCCAGGCAATCTGTCATTACCGCCATATCCCAGGTGGGAATCTATGTACGGTTGGGCATCTCTGCATTGCTGCCCCTTCTTTCCTCCCAGTCGTCACCACCAAGGCCTGTCATTTCTACCTTAAAACTCCAAGGGATTCTTCTCCTCCAATTCCATTGCACTCACTCTAGCATGGCATTACTGTCAACAAGGGAGTGACTGGTAAAACGGGTGTGTAGGACAAGGAGTCACAGGTAACCTCCGTGAGCTGGAACGGAAGGCTCACATCCTCCCACACTTCCTGGAGAGCAGTCACACCACACCGTGCCATGCCACTCAGAGGACGCTGCCCTGGCTCCGGGCAAGTAAACCTGCTGCACAGTGTGGAAAACCACTGCCTGCCTTTCTAAAGCCTTCTGTAATAGGGCTTCAGTCATCTTAACGAACTGCCTTTAAACCCTAAGACCCTCCCAGTCCCTTCACTGTCCCTCTTTCAAGGCTTTGCTGAAGCCTGAGACCTCTCCTCATCTAAGCAGGTCCACTCTGCTCTTCCATGCCTGCTCGAGTGTACCTGCCCAGCCCTCAGAAGACTTCCCTCCCTCACTACTCCTCTGCATGTGCTTACTCCTTCTTGGAATTCCTACTATACTTGATCTTCCAATCACCACTTCATCGTGGACAGTTCCTCACAAGTGGGCAAGGAACTGCATATGAACCACACAGCAGTCCAGGACCACAGTACCTGGCACATCTAAACACAGACTGGCCCCAGTGCACAGTATCCAGCCCAGCTTCGTGGATCTATACATTAGGATGACGCATTTTCGTTACAGAAAGCCAGATGGCTAGATACAGGGATCTGGTTTGGGAACAGTGTAAAAGGAAAGTCAAGCCACATTTCAAAACTTAGATCTTCTTTTTTTAATGGGTGTGAAGCATGCTATGGATAGCATCATGACAGAAGGTTTTCTTAAATCTCTTTTTCACTCAAAAACCAATCCACTGATATTAGGTATATTATACAAAGATAATTACATTAACCATGAAGTATCAATATGAGTTCAACGTAACTGTGGAGCATGGAAAGAGACTTAATGTTACAATTGTCTTCGAGAAATTCCAGTCATGTTTTCTTAAAACATCAAAAGTGAGTATATAAATGAATATATGTAAGTCATAATGCCTTACAAACTGAAGTTCTGGATTAACTGCATTAATCCAAATTACTACTAGAGCTCTTCAATTATTAAAGAGAAGAGAACTCATAGCTCTAGTGGTTTTAGTCTTTGCTTCCTCTCATGAGGTTAGCAGAGAACTAACCAATTAGTTATTATATTATCTCTGAATATTAACCTGAGATGGGTAAAGTAGTGAAATTATAGATGGTTTCTATCCCTTCCAGGTCTAAAGACTGAGTCTTTAATCTGAGGACAGGCTAACAAATCCAGCATCACGGTATTTCTCTCATAAAGTAATGACATCATCCTACCCATTCAAAAGATTGGTCTCAGAGGAATGGCCTATTTCAGAAAAAGAAAACTGAAGCCTGCAGGTATGCTGCTAATAGACTGCTTTTGCTGGGAAAAAAAAATTTCATTAGGCGGCTGTGTCATGTTGCACAAAACAAAACAGAACCCCTAACACACACTTTGTCATAAAATCAAACCAGGCAATTTGAGGCTGTGGCTGCTTACCTCCTCCACAGTTTGATGTGCTCCTGGTCTGAGTAAGCTTTAAGGCACTCGGCTATCCGGTCCCCGATTTTCAGCAGGCAGTTCCGGGTGTGCTCCAGCTGTTCCTGTACACTGAGCCCCTTGTCAGGTTTATCCAACTGTTTCAGTGCCTTTTTCACAGGCCTCATCCTCTCCTTACACTGGAACAGACCAAGAGTAGAGACATAAAACATCTGCATCAAAGGCAGCTTCAGCTGTGCTTACTGGACCCTAAATTCCCAGAGAACACACAGCATCCCCCAGGCCACATAATCACTAGATTATGAAGAAGAGAAGCAGGTAATGGCAGGGGAACAAGTATAAATGTTAAAGTCGGAAAAACCTGAGGTTCAAGTCCCAGCTCCATCGCTCAGAGCGATGACTTTTACAGCTTACTTGGCCTCTCAAAACGCTGCTCTGTTTCCTCATCCGCAAGAGGGGCATGATAATCTCCCAAGGCCATTATGAAGATAAATGAGAAGCAAAATTATAGACCTAACCTGAAAACCTCCCATCACAAACTATCTAAAACTACAGGATAAAATATTTACAAGTCCTTTCTTTAGACTTGTAAGAAACTGAGGGAAAGGTTTCCAGACAAAGATAGTAGACTGAACACAAGAATCTTTTTCTCCCCCTCCCCATCCACTAAAACAACCGTAAAGAAATCGCCATAAGAGATAAGCCCACAAAGACATGGAAAACGAGAGGAAGCAACAGCAACAAAATATTGGCAGCAAGCGAAATGACTCGATAGACCTGAGACAATGAAATCCTAACCCAGCAGTGGAGAGAGCTGAGAACCAACCTGATTTATACTGCAATTCCTGCAGAGGCTAGCTAAGTATCTCTGGAAGTAGGGATGAGGGCTAAAAATAAGGATTTTGTTTTGTTTTGTTTTGTTTTTTTAAGACTGCCTAAGAGGAACAGATTTATAATAGACGCCCAGACTTCCAACTCTGCCCGACAAAAGATATGGAGGTTTATTCTTTGGAGAGGATAAAAGAAAAGTCTCTGAACTGGGCTACACAGGCATAGTTGAGAGGCAAGGCTACTACACTGAGAATAGCACTGTATGAATATATGCATATTAGATAAGCCACCGCCCAGTCTTTCTATTTATTTATTTTTTGCCTCTCAGATTCTAGAACGAAGAAAGCCAGGCCTTAACCCTCCAGTCAGGAGACTGGAGGATCCTCGCCCCCAAAATCCGACCACCCAAGAGGAAGAACCAAATGATGCTGACTCCCCACTGGAAGTTTTCCAAGGAAGCAGCCCAGCCAGATCACCCTACAGAGAACACTCTCAAAGTCGATCAAGCCCAACCCACATTTTCAGAGCTTCCAATCAGATGTTTAGTCCCTACTCTTAGATACGAGCAGACAACCAAGGATTACCAAGCCATTTGAAAAATATCTAACATGAGCAACGGAAAACAAATCTAAGAGAAATATAAAAACATTCAGAGAACCATATGGGGAAAAAAGATCTTGGAAATAACACATGACAAGAGAAATGAAAACCTCAAAAGAAATAATGGCAGATAAAGCTGAGGAGATCTCCAAGAAAGTAGAGTTAGAAAAGAAGAAATGGAAGAAAGTTTAAGATAATATTAGGGACCACTCCCAAAGTCCAACATCCAAAAAGTAGGATAAAATTAAGAACTGAGGAGGAAATTATCACAAAATAATTTAAGAAAATTTCTCTGACCTGTAGGGCATGGTTGTCAGCCACTAAGTATCTAATATAAGGAACTATTAAGGCACATGTCCATGTAACTTCAGAAGAGTGAAAATCTGACAAACTTCCATCACTTTGTGATAATTTCCATAGCTATATACTTACAATTTATTTTTCAGTATTGTACTTAAATTTTTTAAAAGTACACAAAATAAACTGGAAGATACATGACTGTAACAGATAAAAGATTAGTATTGCGAATGGATACAGGATTCCTATAGAAAAGGTAAGAAGAGAAAAATTACCTGGAACAGGCAAAGGATGTGAAAAGGCAATTCACCAGAAACATGAATGCCCAATAAATGTGAAAGTAAATGTTCAACAGCACCACTGGTCAATAGATCATACCTCTTAGATTGGCAAAAATTAAGAAGTTAGAAATTACCAAGTGTTTCCGAGACTGGGAAGCAGTTGGAACTCACATTCGTTGCTGGAAAGAGTGCAAATCTCTACAATCCCTTTGAAGACTAATTCCACAACATCTAAAAGCAGTAGATGTGCAGACCCAAAGAAACACCCAGCTTTTCTGCTCAAGCTACACACGAGCGAAGCTCTTACACACGTGTATAAGAAAATATTTACAATTTCACTGCAGCCAATTTGTAGTAGTAAACATTTGGAAAACCCCAATGTCCATCAATAGGAGAAAGAATGAATCGTGGAAGTCATAAAACAGAATAATATGAAACACTGAAATCAGAGACATAATTATCAACATGGATAAATCTCAAAAGTGTACATGCTGAGGGAGGAAACTCAAGTTACAGGATACACACAGTGTGGCATTTACTGATAGGTTCAAATTTTTGCTCTACATCTTGGACAAGTTACTTAACTCTCCTCACCTTATTTTTTAAGGGGTAAAACAGAGATAATTACCTACCTCATAGGTTGTTGTGGAGAAAAAAACACAAAAAGCACACTAATAATGCCTGGCTGTTTATATGAGCTATTACTTACTGTCTTTAGAGACATTAAGTAGTAAAACTCTAGAACCACGCATGAGAATTACGATTTGATCTACAATGAAATTAGAATTGTGGTCACTTCTAGGGAGGTAACAAACCATGACCAGAAGCTTTATAGCCTGAGCCTTAAAAAATTCAGACCTGACAAAACTTGATGGTACCTCTATCAATGCCTATTACACACTTGAAATTTTTCTGTATTTTTAGAAGATATCACAATATAAAAACAAGAGTAAATGAGACAGTATGTAAATGCAATTTCTTTTCTTTTTTTTTTTTAATTCAAGTATAGTTGATTTACAATGTTGTATAAGAGCAATTTTTTAAATAGTATGGTACCACAGAAGCGTTAGTTATGATTTTCTCTTTTAAACACTGGGCTAAGGAAGAAGCAGGAAACAGATCAGAGAGCTGGTTGTGTAATGAATTTATTCATTTACTCATTTATTGAGCTACTTCTAGCATCTACACGTACTTTATATAAGCCACAGTACTTGCCCTCAGAGAGCTCACAGGAAGAAGAGTAAAGAGATTTAAGAAAAATGAGATAAGTGCGAAGAGAAAAAAATATACACGTATGCATACAGGTTTCTGGGAACACGGGAAAAAAAGGGTAAAAAGAGAGAAGACTGCCTTACAGGATGAGGTCAAAATTCTATGCTTTGCTTCCCCAGAGCAGGAATATTTTGAGATTTGGAAGATCACTTTCTCTCTGAAACTAAATTAACTATTCAAGTGAACAGTGATGTGTGGAAGTTGGGGGAAAGGAAAAGACCGCAAGAGAGGAGGGGAAGGGAAGTGAGTGCAACACAATGAAATATACACGTGCAGCTCCGGTAAGGGCCTAAGTCCCTGAGGACGGCACTGGCCTGTTTCCACCCCATACAAGGCTTGGTCCATGACTCCTCCGCTCACCTGCCCTGTCTCCTATGAGGAGATGGACCACATCCTAGGCCACGTCTTGGCTCCTAGCCCCACAACACGGGAACACATAAGACAGGCCCTGCTCGCCACCGCTCCAGCTCACGCAGCCAGGACCCCAGCCTCGCCTCAGGTCGTGCTGCTTAGACCGACTGAGGCTGTGTGGCGGGAACTATGAAAGGCAAAGCCGCAGCAAGCACTGTGGCTGCAGACCCCCGAATTCCTCAACTTCAGGACTTACTATGCTGAATGTCTCCTGGTCCAGATCATCCTCCTCATCCTCTCCAATGGGGACAGGTTCGCTTCCTGCTGTAATATGGACAGGACCCTGAGATCGCTTTGATTTACTTGAAGATTTGGCATCACCACCTTTAGGCTTTTAAAAAAGAGTTACAAGGAATCATTGTCATTTGTGTACTCCTGTCTTGCAGTTTGGGCTTCTCAGCTATGTCACATCACTACAAGTGGGTACACAGGATGGCCTCAGTTTTGAGACATCATGAAGCCAAACCTATTTGATTAACAGTTTAATCATATGTCATTCCCACTTCTGTCTCTAAACAGAGCCAATTATAATTTTAGCTTCACCAGTGCTATTCTGGCTTCTATTCCCTAATCCATAAAATGCATAAAAATGTCATCAAGAGGTTAAGATTGTGAATTGGCAGAGCCCTCACAGAGTAGCTTGTAGCAACTTCAAAATGAAAGTACACTTTCATCTTGGAAACTGTATTAACTAAAATATTTCAAGTGACTGAAATTTACATAAATCCACATGGGTAAAGTTCATTTATCCATGAAAGGGTGCAGAAGGATGGAGACAGAGATACATATAAAAAATAACTTTATGTATGAACATTTAAAAACATAAAACAATACTACGCTTTGATTACGATCATGTAATATGTAGTAAAAGTATAAAAACATGGGCAGGAAGGTTTCACACGAACTTCAGGGCAGTGTTACGGAGGAGAGAAGAGGGAGGAGAGCAATGAAATTGGGAGAAGAAACAGAGGGGAGTCCCAGTAATGAGTGCGTGGATACCAAATACAGTAGCCCAAAAAAAACCCACTTGAAGTAAACATGAAAAATGTTAACAACAGCTGCAATATCTGGGTAGCGGACACACGGATGCTGGCTAAATCATTCTTTGTGCTTTTATTTTTTAAACATTTCACCTTAAAAGAAGAATACCTTTCTGCAGAAGCACAGATGCAAAGAAAGGTATCCGTTACAATACAGTTTACAACATTAGAAATTCGAAAGCAATTTCAATATGGGAAACTTAAAATTGTTTCCAAAATGTTATAATCAAACAAAATCTTCCTTATCTATTAAAAATGATTTTAACTTTTATTTATTCACTTGGAAAGCTGTTTGTGATATATTGCTAAGTGGGGAGAAAAGGTTATCCAAACAGTCTGGTCTGATTTTTATTTTATAGTTGTTCTTATATGCATAATAAAAAAGTTCCAAAGGTGCTCATCAAGAAATCTGTTAGAGCTACGACTGGATGGTGGAATTAAGGCAGTTATTTGTTTGTATGTTTTAACAATGGTTAAAGATTAATTGCAAAATAGTTTCATCAGAAGTCAGCAAGATGCAACACTGTACCAGAATTCTGTGGTTTGGAATGAACTTCATAAAACCCCAACATGAAGATTATATAATAACAGCAGGGCTTTCACCCATTTCTACTCCAAAAGCTTAACTCTTGACAGTATTTGATAGTATTTCACATATTCAGATTCATCTGTGGACTGTGCTTTTCCACCATGAGTCTGAGAACATGTATCAAGTAGTTACCTGTCCTGTCTCATTCCAACACCCCCTCTGAAGTGTGTAATAAAAGAGCAAATAAAGGCTTCTATATTAAAGAACACCACAACTCACACACTCCCCTCTCTCTGCAGGAAGAGGTGCAGGCATCCCCCTGACAGCCCCATCCTTCCTTCTGGGATATACTCATAAAATGACAATTATTTCAGGGCCCTCAAACCCCCTTCCACTTCTAAATCCTAGAAGGGAATTTCAAAGGCTGCAGGCATCTCAGTAAGCAGAATGACATCGATACCTTCTCTTTCTTATCTTTTGATTTCTTCCTTTCCTTGTCCCCTTCCTTGTCTTTCCTAGAACTCATTTGTTTCTCCTTGTTCTCCTTGTTCTCTTTCTTCTTCTGTTTCTTTTTCATTGGACTTTTTTCTAAACCATCATCCTAGAAAACAAACAAGGTTATGAGCTTTTGCCACAAACTTTACATTTCCTCGTTTACTTTCTAGAAAAAAAAGCACTGCCCCCAATGGTTCATCACTGTGCCCACAGAAGGATGTTCTCAAGCATACAGCCTTAAAGCTATCTGCTTAAAGTGAAGCCTGTAGAGGCAGATGCTCTTCACTTACATCTTCTCTTTATTTCTCATAGCAACCCTTCAACACAGGCGTTATCATTCCCATTTCACAGATGGAAAAAACTGAGGAACAAAGAGATTATATACCTGCCAGGTAGTAATTGGTAAGGTTGCTAGTATTTGAATTCATGCATGCTTGACTCAAATCCATGCTAGTTCACATACCCACTGCTGATCTTCCTGGAAATAACCTCAAAGGGCAATTACACTTGAAGAGTAACAAAATAAAATCCTATAAAGTTTTCAGTCACGGAAACAACAGACTGAATGCTAGCAAGTTACTCTTCCTTTTGCTTAGACCAGAGGTTACAAGTTGACAGGCCTTGGGCCAAACCTGATCCACAGATGAGTTTTGTTTGGCCCAACAATGAACTGCGTAACAGCTGCCCCTATATATTGGGCACGAGCTCCCTGGTTAACCACAGTCTCCACCACTCCCTATCGCTCCCAGCAATGAGGCTGAGTGTCAATTGCCATTTATCACTGAAATTTGCATGGTTCCCTTCATTTCCTTCCATTACGAATTTACTTCTATTATGAATTTTCAATTGCTGATTTTAAATGAACAACTATATTCCTCTCTCACAGGTTAAGCAAAGACATAACATAGTTTCTATTTTTATTTTATCTACTCTGGAATGTAAACCAAACACATTTCAGATAATTTTATACCAGTTGGCACAATAAATGTAACTTAAAAATAATCTCAACTGAAATCCAGCCTCATACCTTTACTTCTCCCTCTTCTGATGGATTATCTGAGTGTCTAGGAGATGAAAACTCAATTCCGTGCTCATCTTTCAGCCTCGGTGCTTTGTTTTCCTTCTTTACTCGAGGCTTCCGCTTCTTTAATTTGGCCTGGAAAGGGTAAGAAAATGATGATAAATCAAGTCCCTCAAAAGCATGACCAAATAACATCATGATTCTTTGGAACAGCAGCAGCAGCCATATAATTCAAACAAGGAAACTCAGAGAAAATTCAAAGGAGTGCAACCAGTTTTACCTGAGGTAGAAAAAAAGAAACTATAGGCCTTATAAATCTCCTACGCCACACAAAAACATCCATATCCTTCAACCTACTGATTCCATTTTCTGGAATTCAATCTAAAGATAAAATTCAAAAGAAGAAAAAAAACCCTTATCTACAAAGATATAAATAAAGGTAATATATAAAATAAGAGTAACATTAAAAAAACTAGAAGCATGTTATATCTAAAAATAATGAAAAGGTGTTCTTCTACTCAAACAGATACAGTAATTTAAGCAAGTAAAAACATGATGCAGGCGCTTCCCTGGTGGCGCAGCGGTTGAGAGTCCGCCTGCCGATGCAGGGGACACGGGTTCGTGCCCCGGTCCGGGAGGATCCCACGTGCCGCGGAGCGGCTGGGCCCGTGAGCCGTGGCCGCTGGGCCTGTGCGTCCGGAGCCTGTGCTCCGCGACGGGAAAGGCAAAAGCAGTGAGAGGCCCGCCCACAAAAAAAAAAAAAAAAAAAAAAACATGATGCAATCTATCTCCCCAGAGCCTAACTTATAGAATATCCTCAACATACTATGTGAAGAATGACATTAATTATGACACTACTACGCAAAAAAGGACAAGGTATGGGATTGGATTTTTTTCTAAAATTTGCTTTCTTTATAATATAGGGAAATTAATACAAATGGCATAGCTCTAAGAGCACTTAAGGAACATGCACACACAAAGGCTGCTACTACTGGCTGTAACTTACAGTATCTCCTAACTGTGATTCTCATCTTTTTAAGCCTGAATTGAAATGAAAAGTTGGGGAAATAAAAGCTAAAGCTCAGATGAGTCCATTAGTAACTCGGTTGAAATTTTTCACTGAGCAAGTAAGGCAACTGTAACTGAAGTCCAGTTTCTGAATTAACTGTGTATCCTAATTACCCATTTTATCCCTGGGACCCATGATTACAAGTAGCCGAGTATTAGCTGTAAAAACAGGCAAACCCAGTGATATTCACGCAGTACTGAGAACTATATTCCAAAATTGAGGAAGGAGCATAAAGATACAGCAACAGTATGTCTAGACCAGTGGCACTGGGAGAAATGAGGACTATTTTGAGGCAATATTTGAGGAGAATGCCAAGATGTTTAGGTCAATTACTAAATGAACATTACTATCATTACCCAACCAAACCATCATTACTGGAACCTCAATACCAACACCTGACGAGGAGAGGGTTAGCATTCTGTGGAGATGCCTGGAGAGGGCATCTCTTCCCCTACCTAACCCTGCAGGGCTGGAGCCTCAGACCCCTGGACGGTGCCCGGCTGGCGGCTGCACTCACCTCTTCCCCGCCCGTCACGGCCCCCTCCTTCTCCAGACTCTTCCTGAGCAGCTTCAGCAAGTAGTCCGCTCGGGTCTGCAGCTGCTTTCCCTGGGGCTTCTTATCTGTCTCCACTGGCAGGATCTTCAACAGGAAAGGAAGAGAAGTACCCGCCACGGCCCACGGCCCGGTTAGTGGATCAGGATAAACAGAGATGACAAACAACTGAGCAGTCCTTTCCCTCCCCACCACCCAAAATACAGATAAAGCCTCAGATCCTATCTCATGTCCATGGCTCCCAGTCACTGAAAATCCCTTATGAGCCGTTCTCGTTTTACAAAATGGGATGGAGAAATCCAGCTCTCCCACTGGCTCCTACCTGTGCTGTTAACAGGGTAGAACAACTCAGGTAGGAGGGGCTTGTTGGCTTCATCTGCTAGAGCATCCCAGCCGTCGTGGATTTCCTCCTTCCAGGAGCAGGGAATCCCTGGAGCTAGGTTAAAGCTTCGTTTTAGATTGAAAATGCTTCTTAGAGCATTGCTGGAAAGCACTGAGCTATGCCAGGACACAGCTGGACCTCTCAGGCCAGACTGGATTTGGTCTCAGTGCTTATGGCAGGGTGCTGTCACCCTCTGAGAACATTGCACCTGGGATGAGCATTGTTTGACGTGCCAGGAAAAGCCCTGCCAGGAGCACAACATGGAGCGCATCCTACTAAAATTTGAGCCAGCTTTCCCTGCTTACAGCTCTGAGCACGGCCTTACTATACTTGGTAGCCTGATGTGCAACGGATAGGGTGGGAGGCTCGATTTTGTGGAAGAAGTACAGCCACAGTTTAATTCCATTACAAAAAATACCAAGGTATGGCTCATTCTTTCTTCATGTGTAGAACTGAAATATGGCTGTTTCAAATATCGTTAAAGAAAGTGCCAACAACTAAGGCCGAGGAATGCTCTTATTATTAATAATCTTACCCTGGTATTTGTTGCAATGAGATTTGACCTACAATAAAAATCAGAATTTGAAGGCTTCTCCTATAATTTCCCAAAAATTCCACCTGGCTATAATTGTCATCTCTGAAATAGTGCCACAGTCCACTAAAGATGGTAATGCTTCCAAGGATAAAGAAATCCCAGGAATGTACTATTGTTCTAATTTCCAATTTGATCCCCACCCCCCAGAAAACAGTTAAAAGTAATCAATATAAAAATATTATACAACAAATCTTCTAGACATCTCCAGCATCACAGAAATACTTACTTTGTCAGTTAACTTAAGCTCTGGATCCGTTTTAATTAGCTCCCAGTTTCCATAGCCGTGTTCATAAATTCCCAGCAATAGGCGAGAATCATCCTCTACTCCCCACTCGACATCAAAATGTGCAGCTTTGACACGACAGGTTAAGCAGTATCTGAAAAGATTTCCAAAGCAGGAGGACATTAGAGGAGGGGTCTTTCTGATTTGGGAATAAACACCAATGAGCAAAGCACTCTGGTATGTTATAATGAAAATACTACGTAACTAACTACACATAACTGTAACTTCAAATCTGTTTTCTAATGGCACAACCACCCACGCATGGGCATGTATTATACTCACTTTTTTTTTTCTTCAGGGTCTACAGGGATAGATTTATGCAGCATCTCAAACTCTTCTTCATGTTGGATAATAGATTTCACATTAACCTGAACCCCAGATATCTTGATAGTTGGGCCTCTCTTTTTCCCTGGTCCTTTCCCTAAAGAACACCAATTTCATATTCGTTAAGTGAGAATTCGCTGAAGTTTCACAAAAAACATAGGTCAACAAATCCTGAACTCTTATTCCCTCAGCGTATATCTCTGGTTTATCGTTAATTCAAAGATATAATCAAGTAAGGCAAAAAATTTTCTCAATTAATGTTTGTGAAATAATCTCTAAACAATTCAGTTTTTTAAGATTTAGAATTTTTTAATCCAGTAGTGTTTATAATTGTATTTTAATCTTCCTATTCCTGTTTTATACTTTGGCTCTAAAATTAATAAAATTTATGAAAGAAGATTTTAAAGGAGTAATATTAATGCTGAAGTTTTTTTCTTTTCTAACCCATCAACAGATTTTTAAGTGCTTTAAAAGAGGATCTTCTCTACTAAAAAAGTATGAGATCAAGTTAATACCTAACACATTTGAAATGATGAACAAAAGAAGTCATGGAAAGGTTACCCTAGCCCGAGTTTCCAATTAAAGTAATCCTAGAAGTAAAAACAAAGCAGTCAATTCTAACCAGAGTCCAAATCGAAATGCATGATAATGACACTTGTCTGTGAGGGAAAAGATGGCTCAGAGCCTGAGAAAAGATTTCTTTTTTTAACATTCAAGTCGATGAAATGGCACTACAATTATAAACAATTATTTAGGGATTCTCATATAATCCACAAGAATTTCACTTGCAAATGCTATTCCCAACAATACTGATGAGTTCTGGAACAGAATGTGGCAAAACGGGAAAGGCACCTCCTCCGAAGATCAGAAATCTGGGATTTATTCCCGGATCTGCACAAACTACCCCCTGTCCCCTTTCCCCTCTCACTTCTAGTTATTAACCTCTCTGGGTCTATGTTTCCTCATCTGTAAAATAAAAAGACTGCAACAGAAAAATGGGCAAAGGATAAAGAGACAATTCACAGAAAAGGAAATACAAATGGTTCCATGTGAAAAATACTCAACCTCATTCATGGTAAGAGAAATGCAAATTAAATATATAGACAGAGCCTTTTTAACCTCAGGTTGGGAAAATTCAAAGATTTGAAAATATGTCGGTGAGACTAAGAGGAAACAGACACTGCCATTCTAGTCAATGCTGGTGGGAGGATATGGCGCAAATGGCATACACACAAGATTATTTACCACAACACCGTAAAGCAAAAGATTGGAAAGCTAAACGTCCATTAACAGGATACTAATATTGTAAATCCATAACAGGTTATGTAGCTCTTCAAACAAAAAAAAAAAAATCAGGCAGTGGAGAAAAGATGAACCATCTTTAATGAATGGTGTTGAGACATATAGTAGCCATATAGGAAAAATCCAAAATCCAAAAAACCTGGATGCAATACCAGGAAAAACTCCAAGTGAATCAGAGATAAATGAAATCACATAGGTATTGGTGGTGGTGGGGGGTGATCTTAATGACTTCCTTTATATCCTCAGAGTAGAAAAAAAAATTTTTTTTTAGTTTGTTACAATATATTGAATATAATAGGTTCCTTGTGCTATATTAAATCCCTGCTATTTACCTCTTTTATATATAGTAGTGTGCATCTGCTAATCTCATACTCCCAATTTATCCCTTTCCCCTTTGGTAACCATAAATTTGCTTTCTATGTCTGTGAGTCTGTTTCTGTTTCGTAGAGAAAATGTTTTTAACTAATCAAAATCCAAAACAACAACAGGGTAAAAGATTGATAAATTTGACTATATAAAATCTTTTTAAGTTTTCTGTACAAAATACCATAGCAAAGTGAGAGGACAAATCACAAACTGGAGGAGAACACTGGCAACTTTTATCAGAAAAAGAGATCCTGGGACTTCCCTGGTGGTGCAGCGGTTAGGAATCCACCTGCCAATGCAGGGGACACAGGTTCGATCCCTGGTCCGGGAAGATCTCACATGCCGCGGAACAACTAAGCCCGTGAGCCACAACTACTGAGGCCGTGTGCCACAACTACTGAAGCCCGCATGCCTAGAGCCCGTGCTCCGCAACAAGAGAAGCCACCGCAGTGAGAAGCCCACGCACTGCAAAAGAGAGTAGCTCCCGCTCACCACAACTAGGGAAAGCCCACGCGCAGCAACGAAGACCCAACACAGCCAAAAATAAAATAAATAAAAATGTTTTTAAATTCCTTGTATTAAATCTTCTTAAAAAAAGACAAGAAAAAGAGATCCTAAAAATTAAGACCAACAGCTCAATAGAAAATGGGCATAATATATGTACAGACAGTTCACAAGTGGCCCTCAGAAAAGATGCACAACATTGCTCATTAAAAGAAAAGTGAGGTGCCATTTCCCAACTGTCAGTTTGGCAAAAATCCAAACATTTGACAATACATTCTGTTGTGTATGAATATACACTGTAGGTGGCAATGTAAATGGTATCAGATTTATGAAGAATTTGGCAGTATCTAACCAAATTACATATGCATTTTTCCCAGGACTCAACAATCCCACTTCCAGAAATTTATCCCAAAGATATGCTGGCAGAGATATGAAACAGCATATTCATTAAACTATTTATTCATTGTGGCTTTATTTATAGTGGCAGAAGACTGAAAACAACCCAAATATTTATTACTAGGGGACAATAAAGTTTGAATTAACATCTATCTACACAGTGGAATACTGTGCAATTGTAAAAGGAAGAAAGTATGAACTCTACACAGTAAGATGGAGTGAACGCCATAAGTAAAAATAAGTAGATGCAGAACAGAATATAATGTATGATATCTCCTGTATAATAGAGGAAATACACACACACAGACTTAAAATTTTAAAAAGAAACAGTGGAAAGATAAGCCCAAAACTAATAGAAATGATTACCTACAGGGGAGGAAGAGAACAGTACTGGGGGGACAGGAATGAAGGCAAGATTCTCTCATTGTGTTCCCGGTTTTGTTCTGACTTTGGACCATGCAAATGTTTTACATAATTAAAGAAACAAAGTTTCATCAAAAGGAGAAAGGTAATCCCTAGAAACTGAAAGGAAAAGAAAACAAAAGATACTAAACTATATATTAAGTTGGTGGCATAACCACACAGAGAAAAGAACAATTTCAAATAATTTTAAAACATAGTACTTTGTGTACTGCTAATGAGGTGTATTTTAAGGACAAAAAGAAACACAAAGAAATCAAATTCTGCATTAAGAAGTCTTATAGTTAACAGTAAAATTAGGGGGATTCCCTGGCAGTCTAGTGGTTAGGACTTGGCGCTTTCACTGCCATGGCCCAGGTTCAATCCCTGGGCAGGGAACTAAGATCACACAAGCCTCATAGCACAGCCAAAGAAAGAAAGAAGAAAACAAACAAATAAAAACAGTAAAATTGGTATTAATATTTGGAAACGTGTATAATGTATAAGACAAATACATGATTATGTTAACACTTTTAGGAACAAAATTTTCAACTTAAGCAAAGAGATATCAATAATCTTACATTAGAATTGGAAATGTTAACCTGGACTCAGGAATATGCTAAATGCCAATTTATAGAAAATACAGGTATATGGAAACAAGTTAAGCAATGCCAGAAGGAAGCAATCAACCAGATGCAGAATGTGAACATGCAGAGAAAAGAAACATGTGGAAAGGAAGGGACTGTTACAAGGAAATATCTCCAAATATGCTGTGAGATGGACAAAGCAAGGTACAGAACAGTGTGCATGCTACAGCACCAATTGTGTTAAAACAGTATCTATTCATTTTTTGAACATATGTATTTTTATATTTCTAGAAGGAGACAAGAAATAGGGATACCTGTTTTTCATTTTTGAGCCATGTGAATATAATACTTATTCAAAATAGTTACACGGGAAAAAAAAACACTGTAAAGTTAAGATTTACTTTTGGATGTATTCTTGGCGCTATAAAAGCACATATTTGGATCACTGTCCAAACCACTCAAGTTATTTAAGTTTTTTTAATGGAAAAAAAAAATCTAAAAATGTTTTTGACTATATTCAAGATATTTTAAAATTCTATTACTTTTAGTAACAGCCTTAAGAAGAAAATTTCAAAGCACAAATACTTCTTTACTTAATGAAATAGCTAATACTGCAAGCCAGATGTGATGACAAGCACTTCACATGTATGGAATTATTCAAGCGACGATCCAAACCCTTTGAGGCACAGACTACTACTCTATTTTGCACATGAGACTGTTAAAAGGCTATCACTTGTCTCAGGTCTTGCAGCTAAGAAATGGCAGGACCAAGATTCCAAGTAAACTGGCTGCATCCAGGGCCTGAATACTTAACCACAGATGACAGAGCCTCCTGTAATGTCAGTGAAGGGTGACAAAAGAATGGGGGCAATGGCACAGACAAACCACAGTCCAGTGAACTGTGGAATGATCACACCCTCATCTTTTTGTTTGACGTTCAACTATAAGGGTGTCCTTTAACAAGGACCTCAGCTCTCTCCTGACACCTCCTGCTTTTAAAGGACAGGCAAAAGCACTCTTGGTGTATAAGACAAAACACACTACATGTCGAATCGAATTACAGCAAATTCTAGTGCCAAAGAGAGTCTCATTGCAACAAAAAGGTTTACGATATTCATCTACTATTCTTATTCTAACTAATTCTCTAAATCCTTTAAGTTCATCACAACAAAACAATACATGTATGTATATCCAAGATAATTACTGATGTCTGTGGTCTGTAATGTCCTCACTTACAGCCAAAATGCAAATGTGTCCACTCAGCTTTACCCACTCAGGTCTTTACATCATTCAAACCAATCTAAACTTTCTACAGTAACATTAAAAGAAATCATTCATCTTGTTCATTACTTTGCACCTTCTGCAAATCAACTTCATTTGTGAGTAAATCTTAAAACTGACCTCACGTAAAGGCAGGTGAGAATACACACCTCAAAAAATTAGGGATGCATGGGATATAAGTGTGTTCATCTTAAAAAAAAAAAAAGATCTTTAGCAGCAGAGATCCCGATCCACAAGTGCCAGGTCTTTGAGAATCACTGAGGGAGACATGCTGACTTACCCTCGCTGGCATTTTCTTTCAGCTGCTCTTCGTATTCTTGCATTGCTGACACACAGCTGTTGTGAATCAATTCCCCTAGGCGCTTCAGATCTGCTACAGACTTATCTACCAACTCAGCATCACGTGCTATGCACTCCAGCCTGAGGAAAGACAAATACGGGGATACCTCAAGGCCCTGTGCCCACGTTTCTAATGTCACGTGAGCTACCACTTGGTTTCACATAAGCTTGCTCCTGCAAAGACACTTTCTCTACATGCCTTAATTGATCCTTCCAACGAGAACCCTCGGACAGTGACTGACGACTTACTTTCCATCATAAAGAATTTGACTTGGAATAGTCCACAAAAACAGACTAATTTCAAAAAACAGAGGAGAAAGGGTTCAGCTTTCTTTATTAACTAAAGGTGCTGTCTGATAACAGTAGCAGGTGAAGTGCCCCAAAGCTATTTGCACTAGGTTTGTTTCTTTGTGCTCACTTTCCTTTCTCTAGCCTACTTTCATTCACTGCAATGTTCCTAGAAGCGAAGTACAGTTACATGTACAATATTTTTCGTTGATCTCCAAGTCATCTGGAGCAGGTGAGTAAATTAATGTCTAAAAGCCAGGCTGTCAAAAGGTGCCAGACCTTAAAAATGGAAAGTAGAACCAAAAAAAGAAACCTCTACAATACAGAAGTGAAAAAGAGGCGGATAAGGAACAATTATATTACTAAGCTTACCGTTCAAGAGGGAGACCAAACTTCTTATACGCCTTGATGAACCTAAGAAAATAATCAGTCAGTCACATTAAAAAACAGACTTCAGCTATATTAATGCAAACACATCCTGTGATGAAATATGAGCCATAAAAACTGTCAAAAAGAGACTGGGCCCAATCCTTGCAACTGCCACTAAATGAACTAAAAGGTGGCCTTTGAAAATGGCCAGCTTAAAATAATGAGTGCTAAAAATCTATTCAAACCAAAGATTAACTTTATTCTCAGTGACTGGTCATGAAACTGCTTAGCGACATAATTGAGAATGGTGACTTAACTCTAGTACTATCATTTTTAGAAGGTACAAGTTTATGGAGTTCAATACATAATAAATGATTTAAAAACCACAACCTCTTATAATAAAATCCAGTACAGTTAAGTGGTCTATATTCAGTCCACTATTGTTACGTTCAATTCCACACTGCAATATTTTCCGTTACTTTCTGGTCAATGATACAAATATAAGGTTTTTAGGACTGCCTCAAATACTTTTTGTAATGAGGCAAAGTAAAACAAACATATGATTTTAAACTTTTTAGGCAAAACTCTTTTGGAAACTCTGACTCCTTCTGCCAAACATTGTCTCCAGCCAAAACTCTATCTATCCTTCCACAAGTCTCTAGCCTAAACCATGCTATATGCCAATCCATGTTTAATCCACTCCCCTCCCTACAGCCAACCACTAGACTTTCACTAAAAAAGCAAGATGCCATGATATATCAAGGGCATCACTGTAACATGCCAAACTACCTGGTTAGATAAAAATGAAGGGAGAGATACTATGGAGAAAAAAAATGAAAAGAGAGGGCACAGCAACTAAAGAAAATGGGGATGAATATAACAATAGCTAAGAAACAATATTAAAGGAATAGCATGGATTAGGAAAGTACTATATGTGAAAGCAAACCTGAGAATTATTCCTCCACTCTACATTTCTTCTTCTTGATATATACTGAAATATTTTACATCTGAAATAATATGCCATTTGTGATTACTTCAAAATAATATTGAGACAGAGAAGCATTCCAGGAATGGTGGGGTAAAGGACCTCTGAAAATCCGCTCCTCCGTAAAAGCAACAAGAACACTGGCAAAACTGTCAAAATCAACTTTGTTAGAATGCTGGAAATTAACCAAAGGCTTGCAGCCATCTTATGAGCATTTATTCAAGAAAATGGCTGAATCTCAGTATGAATAGTGAGCTCTCTGGCATTTTGACTTGCTCTGTTTCCCATGCCCTCGCCCCAGCTCCATAACTGCCTTGAAAACTACACCTTCCCAACTACTGCAGCTGTGCAAAGAAGCAACACAGCAGCCACTAGAGGGAGCAGAACAGGCCTAGAGCTCCCCCAAAGCTCTTTCCCCAGAGAACAGTGCTATTTTGACCTGACTGACAGCAAGACTTGTCTTCATTTGACCTGACTCTGTATGAAGAACACTGTCTGTAGTTCATCGGTCAAAAAACAATTAGAGGCAAAGGTTTAACACCACAGCTGCCTGAGGCAGCATTATAAGTTGGCAATATGAACAGGCTGACCAAAAACTGCAATGGAAAAACCTGGGGGAAAAGATGTGCACAGGGGTCTTTGAAAAGCTCAGGCATATTCCTGGGTATCTAGAAGGCTGCATATATGCAGGGCTATGTGCAGGCACAGAGAAGACCTGAGGAGCTGTGAATCTCTCACCTCTGGCTGGCATTGAGGCTCTGCACAAACAGGAACTGAAGGCTAAGGCAGAGCTGTAAACTGCCTACCAGAACATTGAAGACATCCCCAAAATACCCAAGTAGCCCTTCAGCAAAGGCTGGTAGATTTACTGGTTGGTAGACTTAAGGTGTTTAAGGAAGTCTCTGTCCAATCATTAGCTGACCACTAAGCTAAATGAGCAGAGACTTCAAAAGACAGAGAAGACAGACTTTGCAGAACTAGTCCAGAAAAGTTACTAAACAAACAGCAACAACAACAAACAGCAAACACAAAAAACTCACGTTGGCAGGGGGAATCTGATTTCCAGACTTGCCACATTGTATTACTTAAAATGTCTAGTTTTCAACAAAAAATTACAGAAAACAAGAAAGTATGGTCCCTATACAGGGAAGGAAGATGGTTTTCAATGGAAATAGACCCTGAGGAAGTCCAGAAGTTGAACTTATTAGACAAAGGTTTTAATCAACTATTATAAATATATACAAGAACTAAAGGAATCCATGTCTGACAAATTAAAAGAAAATTTGAGAATAATATATCACCAAATGGAGAATATCAACAGAGACAGAAATTATATAAAGGAGTCAAATATAAATTCTGGAGTTGAAAAGTACAATAAGATGAAAAAAATCACTAGAGAGGCTCAGGATTAGATATGAATTAACAGAAGAAAAAAAATCAGTTAAAAGATAGGTCAACTGAGGGACTTACTTCCCTGGTGGCACAGTGGTTAAGAATCCGCCTGCCAATAGAGGGGACACAGGTTTGATCCCTGGTCTGGGAAAATCCCACATGCTGAGGAACAGCTAAGCTCGTGCGCCACAACTACTGAAGCCCATGTGCTCTAGGGTCCGCGTGCCACAACCACTGAGCCCACATGCTGCAACTACTGAAGCCCGCGCGCCTAGAGCCTGTGCTCTGCAACAAGCCACCACAATGAGAAGCCCACGCACCGCAATGAAGAGTAGCCCTCCTTCCCTGGTGGCGCAGTGGTTGAGGACCTGCCTGCCAATGCAGGGGACATGGGTTTGAGCCCTGGTCTGGGAAGATCCCACATGCCGTGGAGCAACTGGGCCCATGAGCCACAGCTACTGAGCCTGCGCGTCTGGAGCCTCTGCTCCAAAACAAGAGAGGCCGCGACAGTGAGAGGCCTGTGCACCGCGATGAAGAGTGGCCCCTGCTCGCCGCAACTAAAGAAAGCCCTCGCACAGAAAAGAAGACCCAACACAGCCAAAGATAAATAAATTAATTAATTAATTAAAAAAAAAAAAAAGAAGCCCTTCCTTGCTGAAAAAAAAAAAAAAAAAAACAAAAAAAAAAAAAAAAAACAACAAGAGATGCGTTTAAAAAAAAAAAAAAAGATAGGTCAACTGAGATTATCCAATGTGAAACACAGAAAAAGAATAAAGACTAGCCTTCAAAAACACAGGAGAAATTAAGACATTCCTAGATAAATAAAAAGACAGAATTTGTTGCTAGCAGACCTGCCCTGAAAGAAATACTAAGGAGAGTACTCTGGGCAGAAATGAAAAGACATGAAACAGTAACTCAAATCCACATGAATAAATGAGAGCCTCAGGAGGATACCTGAGTAAGTAGATAAAAAGACAGTGTATATGTATTTTTGTCAGTAACTCTTTTCTTCTCCTAAATGATTTTAACTATCAACTGCATAAGGCGATAATTATAAAACTGTGTTGGTGGGCTTATAAAGTATAAAGATATAATCTGTGTGACAATAAAAGCACAAAAGAGGGGGAAGAAATGTACCTAAACTGGAGTAAAGTTTTAGAATACCACTGAAATTAAGGTGGTATTAGTCCAAACTAAACTGTTCTAAGTTAAAACATTAAATTATAATCTCCAGGGGGCTTCCCTGGTGGCACAGTGGTTGAGAATCTGCCTGCTAATGCAGGGGACACGGGTTCGAGCCTTGGTCTGGGAAGATCCCACATGCTGCGGAGCAACTAGGCCCGTGAGCCACAACTACTGAGCCTGTGCGTCTGGTGCCTGTGCTCCTCAACAAGAGAGGCCGCGACAGTGAGAGGCCCGTGCACTGCGATGAAGAGTGGCCCCCGCTCACCGCAACTGGAGAAAGCCCTCGCACAGAAACCAAGACCCAACACAGCCAAAAATAAATAAATTCATTAAAAAAAAATTATAATCTCCAGGGAAACCACTAAGAAAATAACTTTTAAAATATAAAAGAAACAAGAGAATTAAAATAGTATACTAAAAAATATGTAATACAAAAGAAGGCAGTAATGGGGGAATAAAGGAACAAAAAAGACCCAAGACATAAAAAATGAACGGCAAAATGCAGACATAAATTCTATCTTATAAGTAACTGCATTAAACGTAAATGGTTTAAAGACTTCAATCAAAAGGAAGAGATCAACAGAATGGATTTTTTAAAAACACCTAACTATATACTACCTACAAGAGTTGCAAGCTAGATTCAAAGACACAAATAGATTGAAATAAAAAAGGTAAAAGATACTGCACATACAATACCAAAAGAGAGTTGGAGTGTCTACACTAATATCTAACCAAGTTATAAACTTTAAGACATAAATTGTTACTAGAGACAAAGAAGGACATTTTATAATGAGAAAACGGTCAATTCATCAAGACAACAGATTATAAAGCATACACACCTAACAGCAGAGGCCCAAAACATATGAAGCAGAAACTGACAGAACAGAAGGGAGAAATAAACAATACAGCAATAATAGAGCCTTCAATACCCCATTTCCAATAATGGATAGATCAGGCAGAAGATCAATAAGGAAATGGAAGATCTGAACAACAGTAAACCAAATAGACTTAAAAAACATCTATAGGACACTCCACTCAACTGCAGCAGAATATACATTCTTCTCAAAATAACACTGAGGGTAGGGGAAAATAGAAATATGGCACACACACAAGATTGACTACAAACTCATAATGGTTAAAATAATACCCGGGGAGGGGGTGTGCTAATATTCTATCAATGTTTGTATACATTTACATTTTTCCATAATAAATTAAACAAAGAAAGAATAAAAGAACAGGTACAACATTTAGTGGGAAACAAAGACCTTGTGATTTCAAATACGGACCTAAAAGGACTATCTGATAATAGTTAAAATTTGGGTTAGGCCATAAAGTTAATCATTTTCATATTTTCTACTTTCTTCAGCTTTTTAAAAAAATAACATGGCAGCTAGGGGAAAAGTGGTTTGGAAGCAATAATTTTAGATTTTTCTGGAGGGAAAAGGGGTGTGAATCAGACACCAACAAATGTGTAGTAAGTACTGACATAGAAAGATGCCTAAAATTGGTTATAAGTGACAAGAAGCTGCAGAACGGTATGTTGTATATACCAATAAACCAAACTGATATCAGCACTAACACTGATGGAAAGTAAACTGGGGTTATCTGTACTACTTTAATTTTTTATATGTATACCATTTCTTTTATACACATTGATACATATGTATGTATGTATTTATTCATATTCTTCAATAAAAACAAAAAAGAAAGTTTCAGCCCAAGTTTACCTCCAACAGCCTCTTTCCTCTTGGCTGGACTTCCTTTGTGAAATGTTCAGAACCCAGAACAAGAAGTAAACAAAAAGAAAGAGCTCAACTGAGGAAAACCTTGGAGAAGGGAGAATCATCCTGGGGCCTTGGAGCATGACTCAGTCCCCCTTGCCTTCCTCTGACCTCCCTGTCATCAATGTCAGGGATCCATCAACCTGAGGCTTACAGCATGTCCTTCCAAATGTGAGGGGGAAGGAGAGCAGAGCCCCCACTAACCTCCGGATCTCGGCATCAGTGAATCCCTCCACGAGGTCCTTCCGCACACTTCGGGGGCGCCCTCTGCGCTTGGGCTTCTTGTCGTCATCAGAGTCATCTGTCTCACTCTCAGAGGCAGAGGATCTCTGCGCCTGCCTCTTAGACTCAGTATCAGAGTCACTGTCATTTGTCTGAGCCTGAAAAGGCAAAGTCACATTGTAGCAAGTGCCAGGTCCAAGAGATCTAAGGACTAAGACCAGCCCATCTTAACTCCTTAATACTCAGAACTTCCCATCGTATCAGGCAAGTCAATTTCCCTTTAAGAAAGAAGGAGGCAGATGGCATGTGATGAAAGAAGACCTGCTTGGGATAGTCACTCTGCCAGAGACATACTGTAACGTCATTAAGTAAACTGGAATAAAAATATTTGGATTGTGGCTTCATGCTTACTTCCTTGGGCAAATTACTTTACTCCTTCATGCCTTTGTTTTCCATTTGTAAAATGGGGACAATAGCACCTATAATACAGGGTTTTCATACGAATTAAATGAGTCAGTAAGTGGAAAAGCACGAACTTATGCCTGACATACAGGGAATACTCAGTGATAGCTACTATTAGCTAATACTGATTTACTAGGATCTCAGACAAGCCTGAGTCTGTTATCTCCAACAACTGGGTAATAAAACAGTCTATCTACTTAAATGTTGCTGCAAAAATCAAATTAGATAGTGCCTATGATAGAGCTTTGTAAACGGAAGCACCTTTATATAATCTCTTACTAAGTATTTATGCCAAGTGCTATAAACAAACACTTAAAGGTGAAAAGAGGTTTGACTCTGAAAGTCAAAGGCCTTGCCAATTAGAACCAAACTCTTAGACTTACTGGTTCTAATCTCAAGGGCAAAAGGTAAACTCTGTCAAACTCAAATCCTGTCCAGCCATCTCACAAAGAGCCGATCTGCAAAGATCAAATGGCTCATAGGTATGCGCGTGAGCCTTGTGCATTTTTCCATTTCCCTCTGCTAGGTTTCCTATAACTCTACCCTGGAACCCTCCACACATCCGGACAGCAACATAAGGTGAACAAAATAAGAAGTATCAATACTTCCATATCTTTCATGTTACTTGATCACCTTTTTAGTGGAACTCCGAATTCGAGGCAACATATAAATTTCTTCCAGCTCTTTCTGCCGCTCTTCCTCCTCTACTTTCTTCCTTTGCTCCTCTGGAATGATCTCATCCCAGTCCTTGTGAGGACGCTCTTCTAGTTCTTCTTCATCCTCCATTGTTGCGAAGTTGGCAACCTTAAAACAAATGGACAACCCATTGTCTGACATTTCCCTATTTCCCAAACACCATCTACTAACACACCAACTCAAGCACTGTTTTTAATCTAACATGCTATGAATGATAATAGGACTCCTGTGATATTACATAATCAAATAATCAATTTTCTACTCATCGCTCCCTTATCGCCCCCCCAACAAAATCTACTTGCCAAATCCTAAAGTTCATCAGAAATTTTACTGAAAAACAGGGAAAGATATAAAGCTACAAACTGCCTTATTATAAGTTTTATTGAAAGATTTGCTGTTAAATCATACACACTTTCTAATGTACTAATTAGAAATTTTAGATTTATTTAGATTATAACATTTGAAAACCTAATACTAATCCATTACAAACTTACAGTCCTATACATTATAAATCGCTACTGAATAGAGCTCATTTGAAACAACCCGTAACTCAAAGCAGTAGCTATTGGTTACCTTATTCATTTTTATCGAAAGTATAGAAGCTAAAGGTCTGTAAGAATTTCATATGCTCAAAACTGCACGTTAGTCTTAGGAATAAAAACAAGAACACAAAATGCAAAAAACTGAAACAAACCTGGAAGAATATTCCATTTATTTCGTATCAAATATTTAATATATTTAGACCAGGACACCATCATGAAGATTACTTCTGTTTAAGAAGGGAGCAGTAGCCATAGAAGTGAAATCCAGTTGAAACACTAACAATTCACCTCCATCCTCTGCATCCATAGACACATTAACTCTGATCCTAGAGCTCTGTGATCCACTCAACTCCTTCCTTTTTCTTCCACTAAGACAACTTCTACCTGTGGCCAACCTTGGACTTCATCACAAAATAATGCTTCCTTTCAAACACTTCTTCCTCAGCCCTTATGGGTCTACCACACATAACCATCAATGTAACCTCCAGGTCTTCCCTGCTTCTCTAACATGCATGGAACCAAACCATGATGAATCCATTCAACCAAGTTCTCACTGGAATCTGGGAAACTTTTGCCACTTTGATGACTCTTCGATGCCTCCCAAGCCAATTCTCCCACCTTGGGATGGCCAACTGATTCAACTTCTCTGACCTCAAGTATTTCTGGAGCAAGTCATATGATCCTGCTGACTGGCTCTAATGTGAAACCCCATCTTCTAAATTCAGCTCTACACCCTAAACCAAGTTCCTCCTGGCAACTCCTGGCCCCTGGATGGGACTATCCCAAATCTTTTCCACTTCTCAGCAAACACCTCACTTAATTTACTGGTAATTAAGGTCACCAGTTGGAACTCCTACATCTTCTCTCCCCTCTATTCCCTGAAGTGTATACTTTCCTTTTTCTTTCAAAGGCAAGTTCCTCCATCTGTGCTTTTGATTATATCTGTTCCAGTCTCCTCCTGGGCAATGTGTAACCAAATTTTCCTTCTTTCCTTAGAACCTTCAGTATTTCCCTATTCTCAATTTCTTTCCTCAACCTAGAAACGTGGTAACACCTTTAAAAAACTTTGCCTTCCTTGATCCTTCTATCCTCATAAATTACTTTCACTATTCTCTTCACTAAGCTTTTTAATAATCTCTATACTCAATGCTGTCATCTCCTACTCATCAGGTACCCAGCTTCTGCATTTAGTCCTGATCTCATTTAATTTTCTATCAAATACCACTAACTACCCCATAACTGTCCTTAAAAAAAAATCCCACCAAGTCAAGAGCTTCCCAACTGTCACCTTCGATTTTCATACCTTTGACCTCTCTTTCTTATGATTCTATTAATGTCTCTCCCACAACCTCTCCACCCCTCCCAGAGCTCCACACTACCAAGTTCTCCACCTATCCCACTGACAGCTTATTCTCAGCCCTTGTCACAGCGACTTCTTTTCCTCTACCCACTGAATCTGGGCAGGATGGACCACTTCAGTGGTGACCCTCATGGGGAGGACTATATGGTCTATACCCACATCATACTTGGAACTCTAGAGAATGATTTTGAGGGGTATGAGTCAACTTCGGTAAATAGAAAAGCAGAGTCCCTTGCACCCAGAAAGTACTGACAGGCATTACTTATTATTGGTTCATGAATCAATGCCAAAGACTTTCTCAGACAATGATTTTCATACCTTAAATTGTGACAGAAGCTCATCTGTTGCACTTGTTGAGACTTCATTCTCTCTGGTTTCAGCCAAGCGCAAAATTTCATCTATATCCATTTCCTAAAAGAACAAGAGCAACACAAACATGGTAAAAAGGCAAGCAGTGTAAGCATTTACTGAAAATGACTGGTGCAAATAAACCAACTCTCTTCTCTGATATTCCATTTTCTTTTACACTCTCAGTTTCATGTCCTTTACATCTAATGTTTCAAACTACTATTTATACAAATGATAAGATGAAACTTCAGAAATTACGAGAAATAAAATTGGAATAAAAAAAACCAAAGACAAAATCCTCAAATGCTTTTCTCATTCTTTCCTAGTCAATTTAGTAAGAGCTTTTAGCCCTGTAAGAAAAAAAGAGAAACTATGTTCTGCAAGTAACTACTATTTCCTTATAAAAGCCTGACTCAGAATCACTTCCAGAAAATTTCAGACTCTCACAGATGATACTTATCAAGAAATTTTTTTCCCTTATTGTTGACTACCTGAGGCTCTGATTCCTCCCCTTCGAGTTCTTTGAAGAGATCCTCTGCTCCAAATTTCAAAATCGCAGTCAGCTCTTCTTTATTAAAAGGATTTGAACTGCAGAAATAAAGTGTAGTTGTAATCTTTTAGGAATGTCAGATAACCTCTATGGAGTTCTAAATATCTATTCTTCATAAAGAGGTCAAATTACTGGTGAAGATATAAATTCTTCCACAAGAAGAATGATCTCACAAATATTTCATGTTTTTTAATCCACAGGATGAGTCTGCAGTGGTAAACCTAACGTAACAAAAGACTAAGAAATCAAGCATTTTCCTGTTGATTCATCTGTTACATGGTTAAGCAAGAAAGATAATTAGCAACATGAGAGAAGGGAGTTCTCTCTTTGTCCTTTGACTCAGAAAGCTATCATTCACCATGAATTTTCAAACTCCTCATCTCTGGTCCAAAATAAAAGAACAAGCTTTTTCTGCCTAGTTTCCTCTTTAATGGAAAATTATTATCATCTAATTAGGAAGGGCTCATTTGATCTCACCTGTAACACAAGTTGGAGGACTGCCTCAGAAGATACTCAACAATTTGGTCAAAATGTAAACTCTCTAAGAGAAATAGTTGTGTTTCCAAATAAAGCCAACTAAAACTTAACTACTTTCCTTTTACAGCCTTCTGTTTTCAATAGGAAAGATAATCTCCACACAAACATTTTTACCAAGAAACAGATACCAATTCAATCTGGTGCATTCTCACTGCTGAAAAGTCCAAGGCAACATTGTGCCAGGATGAAAGCCCAATGGGGAGCACACAGCTGCCACTGCTGCTGCTGTGTCATATGTCACAGGCAGAGCCAAAAGCAAAAGGCAAGAGAGGAGGGCAGGAAAGAAAGAGAGAGGGCACATAAGAAAAGAGCTGATATGGAAAAAAAAAAGAAACCAAAGAAGAAGGAGAAACAGGGAGAGCAAAATAAAATGAAAATGCCATCTTCTTGCAGTTTTGGCTTGGCCTTTCCCAGGTAATTAATGTCTATTGTAAAGCATCCTATTAGAAAGATGAATTATACCAAATGTTGACATAAAATTGACTCTGCTACCTCTCCCATCTTTCTGGCACTTACTTGGACCTTCCAGAGTTGTTTTCCAGAACTGTCCGGCCAGTGGTATCCATGCGCTGAATCACCAGATGGTCCAATACCATCTTCTTTTTGGCCCGTTCTATGATCTCTTCCTCCACGGTCCCCTTTGTAACCAAGCGGTAAATATTTACCTGTAGGAAAAGGAAATGTTATGCTTATGCCTGATCACACATACAAAAAAGTTACCTCTGCCTAAAACCAAGGGGGAAAATAAAAAAATATTTGTTCTCTGCTATGACGTACCACTTGTAAGCCATCCATCCAAGCAGACAGCTTAAGTATTGTACATGCAATATTTTTACTATTTGCAGCACGTTACATTCTTAAATAGCCTCTAAGGAATTATTATAGCCTTGTTCTAACAATAAAAATGCTGCTAAAGAATGATCTGTCTCATTGAAACTGAAACTTTGGCCACATATGGAACTTAAAGAGGTACCCAGTACTAGAGCAGACTTTGAAATTCACCTACGAAGGAAACAAGTGTGTACGTTTCCAACATACCACAGAGCTAATACTGGTCGTGTGTAATAAAAGTAGACCATCTTGAACAATGTTAGAATATTTAAACAACTTTTCCATAATAAAATAGATGGAAAATTTCAATTCTAAGTCTATTCATCATATACCTTTGAGTAAGCCAGAAAGTTACTGGTGATATACTTTTCAAACAGCAAAAGAGAATAGTTTCATATCTATAAGCTCATCTCAGCCCCAAAGACAGCTTCTCTGTACTAATTAACAAACAGACATCTACCCTTGGGGAAATGAAGACAAAACAGGAAAAAAAAAAAAGCATTTTACAAACATCCTGAAAGGGCTGAATAACCTCCCCTGCCCCCTCCCCTCCAAGCCATATCTAGAGGCCCCTCTCCACTGACCTGCTTCTTCTGACCAATTCTGTGGGCTCGGGCTTGTGCCTGCAAGTCGTTCTGGGGGTTCCAGTCAGAATCAAAGATGACAACTGTGTCCGCTGAAGCCAAATTGATTCCCAGGCCACCAGCCCTTGTCGAGAGCAGGAAACAGAAGTCCTGTACACAATGCAATATACTACTTTATGCAGTGGCCTTCTCAGAAACAGTTTCACAGTCCAATAAGCCCTTATACCTGGAAACCCCTGCAGGTGTGAAGAAAAGTGAGATATGATGGACAAACTTTATGGAGGCTACAAGAATGTCAGGGACTTGATGGCAGAGTGAATTTTCATTTGATTAAGAGAGAGTCAGTGCAATGAACTAAGGAGTAAAGTAGAATCTGATAAGGCAATAGGAGCAAAAGAATTGGTGTTCTCTCCTGGCTAAAACTAGTATACAAGCAGTTAACAGAAACCAGACAAACTTAATTATCATGAGGATCGTTTCAGCAAGTTGCTTAGATACTTATTTCCTGGGTAAAGGTGGATTATGCCATGTAAGGCAGTCAGTATGAGCAAGGAGACTTTATTGGGTAAATGTCCATTCATTTGTTAGGCTGGTGAGGAATACAGAAACACTGTACTAAGAGATTACATGACTGAACCACTGGACAGCACAGGATCCTCAATCACCACGGAACATGCACAAAGAAAACCAGAGCAGGTGTGGCCGAACAGCAGTGTGTGGGAAAGACCCAGGCACTGACATATTCCAGTTTCCACAGCAAATAATAGAGACCGGGCAGGAACAGTACACCAGCCTGCATCTGAGTGCTCAGGAAAAAAATGGGCAGGAGGCAGAGAATAAACTCTGAGCCAGAGAAAACCAAAGCCAGACAGATTTCTATTTCCAGGGAATTTGGTCATGTATCAAAGACTGACACCTTTCTGGCATGGAAATGGCACTCAAAAACTGGTAGTTCTGAGTTACACTTTGATAAATGGGTGTATTTAACACATATACACAGATGCAATGAAAAGGTCTCCACATTCTAAATAACAGTCGCATTCACCAACATTATGCCATAGAAATAAAAATGGAGAGAGCTGTCTCACAAGAGCTTTAAACAATTCCAATAAAGAACTGATTAACAGGGGGGCTGAAGCATAGTCTGTGAGCCTTGGCGGAGATACCAAGCAACACCACGCTCTGAAGAGAAGCCTGCAGGTAAACACTTGAGAATGAGACACCTAAAACTTAAATGAAATCTGGGGTCTGAATGATCATAAGAAATATTTTCAATGTCACTTTTTATCAAAGACAATATGAATTATATTAAGATATTTGTGCCTATTATCAAATGGTAAAATGGAAATATTCATACATAAACATTATGAATATAAATTGTTTGGAAAGAGTGATTTAGCAAAATGTATCAAAAATCTTTTTTATATGCTCATATCCTAGCTAAACATCTGAGAACAATAAAATGGTCAAATAAATGATGGAACAGGCATGAGAAAATATTAGAAATTAGTTTTTTTAAATATTTAATGACACGGGAAAATGCTCAGAGTAGAATTTTGAATGAAAGGCAAGCACAAAACTATATGCAGCATGATCCCAATTGGGCAAACATAGAAAGAAACAAAGGGTTTCTTCCAGGGTGAATGGAAACGCACCCAAATAATGTGAATAGCAAGCTTTCTCTGGGATGGAAGTTTTCTTCTTTGTATAGTATTTCTTCTTTATACTCTTCACCATCTTCCAAAATTTCTAAATGTGTTTATAATACTTTCCCCCAGTAATAAAGTAATTTTTTAAATTAATTAAAAAAAAACCTCAGAGCTGCAGAAAATGGTAAAGAATCTCTACTCTATATCTAGCCATCGGACAGGGGAATCAACAGAACTACGAAGAAAGCCACTTTAGCTTTTTCTTGAGAAAGGGCGATATGAAACATTCAACTCACACTGTGTTTTAAACTAATAGTAGGGACCACAAAACCAATCTCAACAAATACTGAAGAAGAGAAACAGGTAACACTGATGGGGTGCTTGCTATGTACCAGGCCCTGCGCTCAGTGCTATGTGTGGAGTATTGCACTTAGTCGTCACAGCAGGATTGTGAAGTAGGGCATCCTGGTGCTTTTACAGTTGAGAAAATAGGAAGGAGAGAGAGGGGGATGGAATTAGATGGTTATCAATGTTTTTAGTAATTACATTCCTCTTCTCCTTGACCATTCAGAGCCTTGGTTCTGAAGAGATTAGTGCCCAAAATTCCTCAAGGAGAACTAAAATTTTAGGCTGGAGAAATAGGCAGAATACCACAGTCTAACTAGGCTTATGTGCTATTCAAGGGGCAGGAGTCATACCGTTCTGGAGTGACAGACAGACATTAAGAGTGTTCAAAGCTCTTGAGAAAGCAGAAAGTTAAGCTTGGTCTATCTATACAGAATAGTGGCCCAGACTTCAGAAGCTCTAACGTTCTCTCCAAAACACTTCTAGTTCTACCTCTGGCCCTCACTACGGCTTTCTTAACTCCTCACACCACTATAGCCTTACTTACACTAAACTTCTTTTCGCCTCTTCTCTCACATCCCATGGTATTTAATAGTTTGATATGCACAAATTACAAGGTTACCACGGTTTCTAACTTGTCCTAAGTGCTCTTCCACATGTACCTTAAAAACAAAATACTTTATAATGTCAAATTCAAGTTGGATACTTAACAGATTAACCAATGTTGCTATTAGCCCAAGCAAGGGAATTAAGTCACATCCTACCGGGGTCCAACAAATCTGAGACATAGCAAACATACTTTTTAAGACTCAAGTCACCAAAAAAAGTATAGATCAGAACCTTCTGATGTAACATACATGTCAAAATTAATCCTACCAGCCAGCCCTCCCCAACCCTCGCCTTGCGGTTCTTCTAGGCCCAGAAATTTGGCACCTGAAAGCCACCAGAGAACCCTCAGTTGATACCGGGACTACTCTGTCATTAATCCAGACCAGGGGAGATAAACAAGCATGCATATACTTTTCTGGATTGACAAACAACAAAATTAAGAGGCATCTTTAGTGATTTCTCCTTCCCTTATCAGGTAGGAGAGTTGCACTGTGAAATGTTTCTGAAACAGAATACATTAAGCTAGAAAGGCTTTCCCCTTGATACAGAGCCCAAGCTGCCCAAATAACAAAGCCATGCGTGCTATACCTCAGACCCATCTGCATTGAAGTGGTCCAGTGCCTGTTTTCGGATTTCTCCCTTGATGGAACCATCCAGACGCTGTAAAAATAAACCATAAGAAAATCATAAGGTAGGAAGATCAGCTACACTCAAAATAGAACACCAGACTTGTAACCTTCATCACTCCAACAACCACTGAGTAAAAATAACCAGAACACACTGGCAAAGTGCTGTCCAGGGGCTGTGCTTCAGCAGCACACCCAACTTTGCCCCAAGCTCTCCGGTTACAAACTCAAGGTCAGAAGCTTCTGATTCTAAGGGCCATCTAGGTTTATCCAAGGATCAGAATGGCCACCAGGACATAAGGAGAAAGGTGGCAACCCAAGCTGTGCTTAAGAGGCTTTGTCTGCTTCTACATCTGTGGGTACCAAAGAGATTAGGAAATAGTACCACTGGTCACCTCATAATTAGCTCCTGCAGGAAAATGGTGCTCCTTAGCTACATGGCTAAAAGTTGCCCTGTTATTAAGTGCTCCATAAACCAAAAAATTATTTACATAATTTTGTTTGGAAAACATTTTCCCATAATATTGAAAACGTTAAAATTAAGTGAGTCATATATCCCAGCTTTTCTGAAAATTACACTCTAAAATCAGAGCAAAGTGTTCAAACAGCCAAAATGTATCTTCAAGAGAGCCTCTGGCATTTACTAGCACATACAATTCTTACATTAGACTATATGTCAGTTCTACGTCCAAAACCATGTCACCATAGAGAAACCATATAATATGTAAATACTGAAGAATTACTACTTGTATGCTGTATATAAAGCATTTCTCACTCTTTAAAATCATTTTCACATTACTTCCCCTTAATCACCACTTGAGATAAACTACATCATTTTACCGAAGGCAAAACTGACCAGGCAGATGTCAGCTGACCAGTGATCAGTGACAGGAGAGGGGTGGAGTCTATGGAAGGACCTACAGCTCGGCGCTCTGTCCACCAAACCCAGAGCCACCTGATCACAGGTAGAATCACACACGGGAACCCCCTTTCTTCTTTCTGACTACCAACTCTACTGAGAGCCTTGACCCAAAGATAAGTCTAAACGGCAGGTTCACAACCAGTATTTGAAATGAGAAAACGCAAATGCCCTCTTTTCAATATTCTAAAAGAAGACATTAGGCATGATAACCTGAGTGGACACCAGACTACTCATTCCCTAGAGAGAAAAGTAATGTATTCTTATTTTACTTGATACCCAAATGAGGAGCTAGACCTGAAAGCTCCCAGGGGTCAGATGTACTGAGAGATCACTGACTCTCTGTACTGTGCTATTTTTGGTAACAACCACAGTATTTAACTGTATTCTAAGACAACTGCTGAAAGACCACACAAAGTATTGTGGATATAACAACACCTTTCAGGGTATGCTGAAAGAAAACGTGTTACTGAGTTTTAAAGCTTGGCCTTCTTAGAGAGAATCACTGCCTTCAAGTATCTTCAGTATCAGCATAACTGCATGAGTCCATCCAAAATTAAAGAAAAAGTTTATTTAATGCAAGGCAGGGCTTCCCTGGTGGCACAGTGGTTAAGAATCCACCTGCCAACGCAGGGGACACGGGTTCGAGCCCTGGTCCAGGAAGATCCCACATGCTGCAGAGCAACTAAGCCCGTGTGCCACAACTACTGAGCCTGCACTCTAGGGCCCACAGGCCACAACTACTGAGCCCATGTGCCACAACTACTGAAGCCTGTGCACCTAGAGCCTGCGCTCCGCAACAAGAGAAGCCACTGCAATGAGAGGCCTACGCACTGCAATGAGAGGCCTACGCACCACAACGAAGAGTAGCCCCCGCTCGCCCCAACTAGAGAAAGCCCGTGTGCAGCAACAAATACCCAACACAGCCAAAAATAAAATTAATTAATTAAAAAAAAATCAAGGCATTATAAAAATATTAGGCCAAAGGTCAAGGTAAATTGCACACGTCTATAAATAAATCAGAGATAAGTTTCCCATTGTCTAACACGTAGAAAAATATTATGCTGAAGAAACTTTTTCCCCCTTATTTTTCTCATCTTACAAGAGATTAAAGAATGAAGACAAAAACCCAAAATTATAATTCTGCAAAGTATATTCAGGGACGAGCAAGGTTTCAAGTATACTGCTCTCCTGAGTTCCCCAGCCTCACGGCCAGGGTCAGCTTCCTTTGGGGTGAAATATAAAACACTGTCACCTCTCTTTTTCTTTCTTTCTTAGGATTTGGGCTTCTGTCATCAGGTTCACACTTCCTTCCTCGCTACTTTTACCACAGGCTCAGAGATGTAAGATACCATCTAACAACACTTCTCTTGCCCAATTTTCCTTTCTCTAATCCCCATCCCTCGCCCACCAAAAAAGAATAATCTCCCATGATCTTGTTCATTACAGGGTAGCCTAAAGGCATGGTAGTAAAAATTAAGACCCGCCTGGAACCTTAATCTCAATTTGTTTCAAACAAGAAAACTCTTGTTTTCTCCTTTAGGATAATTTAGCAAGCAAAGCATACAACCTAGAGGGAGGGAGTGAGGAAAGGAGGAAGGGAGAGGCCCCAAGTACCAAGCATCCTCACCTGGAAAGGATAGTGCTTAATAGTCAGGTACTCAGCCAGGATATCCAACATTCTCACCATCTGGGAGAAGATAAGGACTCTGTTCCCTCTTTCTCGAAGTCTTGTCAACAGTTTATCTAATAGAATCAGCTTCCCACTGCTCCTGATCAAGGACTGAAGATTGAAAAGACATTCTAATCATCATGTTCAAAAGCATACTTCAATCTGCCCTTCCTCTCTAATAAGAGTTCATATTTTTAAAATCATCTTTAAGCTTTTGGAAGACTTCTGCAATCTAGCTGACAAGCAATTCCTAAAATGCTCTTTACCTAGTATCTGTGACAATATACTTTCCAGATTTTTCCTAGCTATTTGACTTTTCTCACCTGTTTTTAAAGCTTCTTTTGATGCTCCTTGAAATTACCAAGGAGGAAAAGGAGCATTTTGATAAAAAGCATCTATAGAAACTAAAGTGTCTTTAAGAAAGCAATTACAAACAAGGTAAGCACACACCAGAAGAATCTCCTGTCCATTTTCCCTTTCGTTTTCTTCGGGAGGTTTAATGAGATAACAGTGGTTGCAGCACTTTTTCAGTTCCATCACAATATTAAGGAAACCAGATGTGCTGCCTCTTGTTCCTTTGGCAAGAGCCTTGTAATTTCTAGTCAGAATCCATCTGCAAATTAAGATAATAATGATATTATTAGATTCAAAGAAAGAGAGTTGGGGATACCAGCAGCAGATTATAAAAGGAAATAGTGTTACTGAGGGTGGGAGGCGGCGGTGGGGGTTAAAAAGGCAGGGAGGGATGCTTTATTTTATATCTCCTGCCACCTAACCAGGAACCCTCACACATCTCCAGTCAGATTCAGACCATTAATCATTCTACTGGCTATTTCAGCCTGGATGAACACAGGAATATTAAAAGAAAATAATAGCAACAAAATATATATATTCATAGAACATATATTACATATATGTATTTTATATAAACAATGACTGTCACTGAAGCAGTCTTTATTGTAGTATAAAAGTGGAAATTAAGCTGTCTCAAATTAGAAAATCAGTTAAATACATTAGATATACCAAAGATAGAAGCTACAGGGACTTCCCTGGTGGTCCAGCAGTTAAGACTCCACGCTCCCAATGCAGGCGGGCTGGGTTCCATCCCTGGTGAGGGAACTAGATCTTGCATGCCTCAACTAAGAGCCTGCGTGCCACATCTAAAAGATCCCACATGCTGCAACTAAAAGATCCCTCATGCCGCAACTAAGACCCGGCACAGCCAAATAAATACATAAATAAATGTTTAAAAAAAAAAAAAGATAGAAGCTACATATCCATTTAAACTGTTGTAAAAGGGTATTTTACATAATACAGTGTTCATAACGAGTATGTTTTATATCCCAGTTTGAAAATATTAGAACTGCTTTTTTTCTGAGTAGTGAAATTTCTTTACACTTTTAGCAATCACACTTTTAGGAATCCATCTCAAAGAGGAATTCTCAAGGATTCTCACCGTAGCACTATTTATATAAAAGTATTTGAAACTATCCAAATGTATTTGAAACTACCCAAATGTCCATCACTAGAAGACTAGTTGAATAAACTATGCTACAGATCCACTATTTAGTTGTAAAAAGAAAGGACTGTCTCTATAAACTACTATGGAGTGCTCTCCAGCACAGCCGATTCCCATCACTAAGTGAAAAAAGTAAGGTATAGAAAAATGCATACAGCATGCTACCACTTGCACAAGGAGGCAATAAAAAAAGTTAACATCTGCTTATATTTTAAAAATGAAAAAATAAAGGAAAGATAAACGTTAAGATTTTTAAATATAAAAGTAATTATTACCTAAGGAAAAGAGGGACTAGAATGGGGGAGACAAGGATAGAAGCAAGATATCTCTGAACATGCCAGGCATGGCAGTTTTGCCTTCGGAACTCTATAAATATTATAAATAATCATGAACAAAATTAAACAAAGCAATCTCTAAAAAAAAAAAAAAAAAACCACTAAAATGAAGTACATAAACTATTGTATCCAGTCAGTACCTAACCAAAGAGAAGAAAAACCATCTCAAGTGCTTTAAGCCTCTTACCATTTCTAGTGGGATATGCCTTTAAAAACAAACAAAAAAATACTATTTTAAAAAACCTTAACCTGTTTTTGTTCCTCATCTTGCTAGTGGTAATCCTGGCACCATTATTTTAAGACTGTGTGTGTAGTGTGAATTAGGCTGGTGCACTTGAGAAGTCGAATTTCTGGCATGGGTATAAGTTCATTACGGTCAAATAAAATTTCTGTAGTACTATTTAACTGGACAAAATTCATGATGTATTTTTATCTTTAAAAACAAACAAATTTCCTAACTCTGTCCACTTTAAAGACCAGTGAATAATGTCCACTGCAGTTGCAAAGAGCACCCCCAGTGCCGTCTGTGACCTCCAAATATCATTTTCCAATGAAACAGATGTGAAGCTTTTTGGCTGACTCTAGTTCTGGGGCAGGAAATGAACGAGACGAATCTGAGCATTTTATCATTCCAGAAAGCAAAGAAGCGATCAACTACAACTTGGATTTTGTCAAAAGAACTTGAACAAGCTCCCACTGGCTAAAACTGGGACCATTAGACCATGAGTATAGATAATAACTGCAACAGAATAAAACACAAATAAATATGTTTACTGATGAATCATACAAAAATATTCATAATCATACCAATAAGTCTCATAAGTCAAACCTTTGAAGGAAGATAGATAATCCATTTTTTCTTTTGAAAACGTCAAAAATTCAACATGGATGAACCTTGAACACATTATGTTGAGTGAGATAAGTCAGACAGAGATAGACAAGTAACGTATGATATCATGTATATGTGGAATCTAAAAAAGCCAAACTTGTAACAACAGAAAGTAAAATAGTGGTTACCAGGGGGTGGGGAGTGGGGGACAGGACAGATGTTGTTTAAGGGTACAAACCTGGAATGGGTAGTAAATAATCCCTAGAGATCGAATGCACAGTATAGTGAATACAGACAACAACAATGTATTATATAATCATCAACCTTGCTAAGAGACTAGATTTAACAATCCCAACCACTAAAAAGGGATCATCATGTAATATGATAGAGGGACTAATTATCACTACAATGGCCATCAGATTAAAATATATAAATGCATCAGATTAACACGCTACACACCTTAAACTGTACATTATATGTCAAATGTACAGTCAGCCATCCGCATCCACAGGTTCCACACCTGCAAGTACAGAGAGCCAACTATACTTTGCCATTTTATGTAAGGAACTTAAGGATCCATAGATTTTGGTATCCGAGCGGAGGGCCAGGGGGGTCCCTGGAACCAAACCCCTGTAGTTACCAAGGGACAACTGTATTTCAATTTAAAAAAACAGTAAATAGATGAAAAATTTTAAATTCGAAAATCAGAAAGAACCATGCATTTATTCTGTCTTTCCTATATGAACTGTTCCTCATTGATGTGGGGAAGTTTCTTTTTACAGAAGTATTCCACCTAATAAACAAAGGAGTAACAAAAGTTGAATATTACCACTTTGTAATCCCTAATGAATTAATGATCTAGGCAATGCTCATCAACATTTGCTAATATCACAAGAAGACAACCTCCTATGATAGACTGCATTCTGTGAAACACATTGATTCTTGGTCTAACCAACCTTCTACACTTATCTGTGAATGTAAAGGAAACAATGTGTTCTCAGGAAAATACTAAATGATGCCATGGAGCTGGAATGAGCAAAATCCAGGCTGTGAAAAAAATTTATGGAACACAAACCCAGATTCTTCACTCAAAAATTTACAAGGACGGAGGGAAAAATGACTTAAAATAAACTTAAGAGATATATCAACCAATCATAATGTATGGAGCTTACTTAGATCCCAATGCAAACAAGCAAAATGTGTGTGTGTGTGTGTGTGTGTGTGTGTGTGTGTGTCTAGGACAACCAGGAAAATGTAAACACTCACTGTACATTATACAAAGAAAATATATTAAAAGCAGCAAGGGAAAAACAACAAATAACACACAAGGGAATCCCCATAAGGTTAACAGCTGATCTTTCAGCAGGAACTCTGCAAGCCAGAAGGGGCTGGCAGGACATATTTAAAGTGATAAAGGAGAAAAACCTGCAACCAAGATTACTCTACCCAGCAAGGATCTCATTCAGATTTGATAGAGAAATTAAAACCTTTACAGACAAGCAAAAGCTGAGAGAATTCAGCACCACCAAACCAGCTTTACAACAAATGCTAAAGGAACTTCTCTAGGCAAGAAACACAAGAGAGGAAAAAGACCTACAATAACAAACCCAAAACAATTAAGAAAATGGGAATAGGAACATAAATATCGATAATTACCTTAAATGTAAATGGACTAAATGCTCCCACCAAAAGACACAGATTGGCTGAATAGATACAAAAACAAGACCCATATATATGCTATCTACAAGAGACCCACTTCAGACCTAGAAACACATACAGACTGAAAGTAAGGGGATGGAAAAAGATATTCCATGCAAATGGAAACCAAAAGAAAGCTGGAGTAGCAATTCTCATATCAGACAAAATAGACTTTAAAATAAAGAATATTCCAAGAGCAAAGAAGGACACTACACAATGATCAAGGGATCGATCAAAGAAGATATAACAATTGTAAATATTTATGCACCCAACATAGGAGCACCTCAATACATAATGCAAATACTAACAGCCATAAAAGGGGAAATCAACAGTAACACATTCACAGTAGGGGACTTTAACACCCCACTTTCACCAATGGACAGATCATCCAAAATGAAAATAAATAAGGAAACACAAGCTATAAATGATACATTAAACAAGATGGACTTCACTGGTATTTATAGGACATTCAATCCGAAAACAACAGAATACACATTTTTCTCAAGTGCTCATGGAACATTCTCCAGGTTAGATCATATCTTGGGTCACAAATCAAGCCTTGGTAAATTTAAGAAAATTGAAATTGTATCAAGTATCTTTTCCAACCACAATGCTATGAGACTAGATATCAATTACAGGAAAAGATCTATAAAAGACACAAACACATGGAAGCTAAACAATACACTACTTAATAACGAAGTGATCCCTGAAGAAATCAAAGAGGAAATAAAAAAATACCTAGAAACAAATGACAATGGAGACACGACGACCAAAAACCTATGGGATGCAGCAAAAGCAGTTCTAAGAGGGAAGTTTATAGCAACACAAACCCACCTTAAGAAACAGGAAACATTTCGAATAAACAACATAACCTTGCACCTAAAGCAATTAGAGAAAGAAGAACAAAAAAACCCCCAAAGTTAGCAGAAGGAAAGAAATCATAAAAATCAGATCAGAAATAAATGAAAAAGAAATGAAGGAAATGATAGCGAAGATCAATAAAACTAAAAGCTGGTTCCTTGAGAAGATAAACAAAATTGATAAACCATTAGCCAGACTCATCAAGAAAAAAAGGGAGAAGACTCAAATCAATAGAATTAGAAATGAAAAAGGAGAAGTAACAACTGACACTGCAGAAATACAAAAGATCATGAGAGATTACTACAAGCAACTCTATGCCAATAAAATGGACAACCTGGAAGAAATGGACAAATTCTTAGAAATGCACAACC